TGTTTTCCCTCATTGATCTCCAGGCCCAAGGCCACTGAAAGTGCGTCAAGTGACAAAGCTTTTCAGGACACCTGTGTCACAAGATATTTGACACTTAGTCAATAGTGATTATTCAAGCATGTTGAGCTGTTTGGAAAGCCAGCATAGCTAACCACCTAATTTTCTGGGGCAAATTTCTAGGGGAGAGGAGATTGCGTTATAGAACAAAATTTTTATTTTGTAGTGTAGAACATTCTACATCTTGTTAGTAACATTCTGTGGTGTGCAGCTTTTTACTTTCAGACATAATTATTTTCTAATTATCATGGGCTCATATCAATTCTCTGGTCTTATCCAATGATCACACAATTCATTTTAGGTTCATTGGTATTTTTTGTCCCTTCCCCAGGGATTTTTTTTTCCCAAAATAAAGTTTTTTTTCACCCCCTTGCAAAGCTATTTTAAATTACTGGAGAATCTCCTACCATGCTATTTTGATTTTACTTATAAGAATAAACTCTAATCCCTTCAGTGAGCCTAATGTCCTGCTTCCTAGACATGTGAAATAGAGTATCTTAACTATGGGTAAGGCGAGTCATTGTATTACTATCTGATACTGAAGAAGACTCCGCACAATAGGGGTTCCCTCTCAGACCCTGGATTATGCACACACCACACCCAAACACCTATTTTTCACAGAGAGAGCCTTCATTAATCAGGAAAGAAAAGTTAAAGTGGCTGTTTTCTGACCAGGCAGAAAAATAGCACCAAATGACCTTGCAGGTGTAATGTTTAAGAGGAGAAAGGGGGGATGTCTGTGTTAGAATGGACTAGGATGCTGTGATAAAGGAGAAGAGGAAGGAACCAAGGGAAAGGGGCATTTGTCCCTGGGGACCAAAGCACTGTCTCAGGATAGAGGGGAGACATACATGGCCCATGGGGCTTATAAAGATAAAGGAGGAAACACCATGTTAGGATGAGGTGTTTGATTTTAAGTGGGCATGTTAATTAGGTGAGCCAAAGGGGGCTTTTGATTGTTGGACTTTAATAGTTTGATGGCTGAACTTCAGTAGTCAGCCTCAGGAGGAATAAGTGGCCAAATAAGGGAATAGTCCTTAGTGGCTTGCTTTAGGAATGTAATCTAATGGATTTAAGCAAAGCTGAGAGAATCAGGGAGAAGGGCAAGGCCTGCCAGAGCCTCATGCTTGAGTGGGCTGGCCTCCCTACTAAGACGTCAGTCAGTTATATGAAGAAGCAATCTGAAAAACAGGGACGATATCCCTCTCTGTTAGTTGAGGCAGGTGGACTTGAAAATCTCTCTCACTATTATTCCCTGTTTGAGGAAGCAGAAATCAAGGGGGGAAATTTCAGATATAAATTCAAAGGAGAATTATAACATTAATGATTCTTTTAAGAAAGTCAAAAGAATACGGCCTTTAAATCCCAATGGGCAAATGTGAAGTTTGGTAAGTTTTGTAGTCTGTCTCAATTCTGCTACTTTCTCCTCTGTCTCTTTCCTGCAGGCTCTCAGAGACTCCCCTGTGGACTGTTTAGACTAAGATAAGTTCAACAACACCCATCTGAGAGAACCCAATAAAGAGGTAAGTAAAAAAAAGAAACAAAAACAAAAACAAAAGCAAAAACAAAAAACAAATCTGTAAATCTGTTCTCCAAGTGCCAAAGTTATGTAGCTTGTATGGCACTTCATCAGTGGTAGGTAAAGGGGCTGTTTGTTTGCCCAATAGGAAGAAGACAGTGTGTCCTGAGGGTGTGTCCCTGCATTGAGGTTGGATGTGGCTAAACACTCTGGCCAATCTGGTGGTGAGATCAGGGAGGTGGGGAGGAAGGGCTACAGAGAATCAATGATTGGAGACCAGTGTATCAGGTAGAAGACAAAACATTGGTTGGGTTTGGAGACTTTTTAAAAACAAGTACAGAGAATGGAGACAAACTTTGAAATCAGTTGGAGCATAGCTAGAACAGGAGTAATATTCCAATTATGCAAACTAAGAGGAAAAGGAGGAAAAGACAGCCTGGGTTCAGGCAGGGTTGCAGTGGTGACAGTTACAGTCAAGGTGCGATGCTTGTTTATAAGTAGATACCAGGGACAAAGGTATTAAGGTTTTGTATACCCAAGGGAGTGAAGAACTCTGGACCTTCCCCCACCTCCTATCCCCACCCCCGGCACAGTTGAAACATTAAGGTTCTAGCAACCTGGATCTCCTAGTTTCTGTTTAGTACCTGCAACTTTTGATATCAGTCCCCAAATCTGAGGGATGAGCATAGTGCTGAGTCACAGTGATGAAGGGGAAAGCAGTTTACCAGGCTTAGACATAAGCTGATGCTAGCTGTTAGACATAAGCTGTCCTCTGGCTGCTCCGTGTGTAAAAGTGAGGGCAATTGTTTATAAAGCTACATTGGGCATAGGGTTAGGGATGTAGCTCATTGGTGGGCCTCTTGTCTGGCATGAATAAAGTCCTGGATAAAACCATCAGCCTCATGGCCAACGATAACACAATAAATCAGATACGATTAATCCACAGGCCATGGTTCAATAAATCTGTGTGAATAACCCAGGACTCTGTAGAGATGAACAGCATTCCAGGCCCTTCCACCCAGAGCCAAGCACCAGCCCTTCTATAAAGGGATGCCACAAAGAAAAAGGCGCCCATGTGCAGATCATTCTGGGCCGCTCTCCTGCTTCTTCCCATCCCACCCCTTAACATGTTCTTGTGAGTATTTCCAAGCCATCAAGGATGGCGGGCTTTCAGCTCAGCTCCAACCAGGGTGTCTAGGCAGAGCATGGCATACACAACATTGACTTTTTAAAAGTTGTTTCATGGAGGACAACTTGAGAAAGCCCACTCTAACTCAATATTCTCCAAAATTCCCAAGTAATAATAACCTGGCAGCCTAACAAGCAGGAAACCCCAAGATGACACTCTGAGATGACTGAATCAGAGTCTCCAAAGACACAGACAGGGAGTTTTCAGCTAGTGCCTCATGGATTCTTATCCTTGGGGAAGCTTGGGGAAATATTGACCTAAGGAATGACTAAGCTCCAAGTGACCTTTCAGCTTGGTGTGTTCTCTCTGGCTGGGAAATCTGAAGCATCTTTCTGTTCCGGATCTTACTTTCCAGGATGAAACCAGAAGCCATAATTCTGTGTATTGGGAGAGTCAGCTTGAAAGACATTCACAAAAAACAAATTCAGGGGGCCTATACTGCCCAGTCTGTGGCTAACACTGTAGGGAGTGAAGGTTTGAATTGAAGCAGGAACTTAAAAGCAAGCCTACTATTCCACAAGGCATTATCGCTAACCTGGGAACTCACTCACTACCTACAAAGTATCACTGAGCTTCAGGAGTCAAGTTGAAAAGAAGGAGGAGGTGTTATATGAGCAGGATGGGAGTGGGTGGGGGGTGGAGTATCAAGATTATGACAGGAAAACCCACAAAGATAGCTGACTCAAGGTCTTAAGAGCTCATGGACTCTAGAAGGACAGCTAGGGAACCTCCATGGTATCTAACTAGGCCCTTGGCATGTGGATGACAGTTGTGTAGCTTGCTCAGTTTGAGGGCCCTCTGGCAGTGGGACCAAGATCTTAATGTTCCAGGTTTTGTTGACTCCTCATGAGAGGCCTAACTCTTTCTGAGGAGTAGATAGGGAGCTGAGTTGGGGGAGAGGTGGGGGGGTAGTAGGACTAGAAGAGGGAGGGGGAAACTGTGGTTGGTAAATAAAATGAATAAAAAATTTAAAATAAAATGAAAACGTAAGTTGCTGCCCACAATGGGCTAGGTTCTCCTACAACAATTAGCATTCAAGAGAATCCCCACAAGCAAATCTGAGCAGAGAGCTCCCTCAGCTGAGATTCCCTTCACAAGAGAGTCAAAGCTGTGGTGAGCTGATGGTTAACTTATTAACTAGGATGGAGATTACAAATAGTAAGTGATAATTATTAGGAGCTAGTAGCTAAGACGGAATAGTTATTATTAAAAATCACTTAACCGTTTGAGTTGCTTATTTCTGCAATTTTCTACGTACTGCTTTCCAACCTAGTTTGAGTATGGATATGTAAAAATACAGAAACAAAACTTCAAACTCCACTTAACTATACTCTCAATGCCTCTTTTCACTTGCCACGGTGGATGTGATTATCGATAAAGGAATTCAGTGTTTTCATGTGATCGCACCTACATATTTTGAATACTCCAAATTGCTGGAAGCTTATTAGATGGCAAGCTTATATCTATATTTCAGAGGCATAGGTCTCACTGTTTTATAAAGCAATACAAAAATATATCCAATAAAGAGCAAAAGTAAGTCTATTAAAAACATTTGAAATGTATTCCTGATATAAGTATTCTTATTGCTTTAAATATAACACCAGAAATATGAGTAAAATATGTGCTTTAGAGCCTGATAATCATCACCTTATGATGATAAAGTCCTTATAATGTATAACTTTAGAGGATATCAAAATGTTATATGTGGTATTAAGGATTATAATAATAGTATCTTGTTGTTTTAAAAATTAGAAACAGGGCTGGAGAGATTGCTCAGAGGTTAAGAGCACTGGCTGCTCTTCCAGAGGTCCTAAGTTCAATTTCCAGCAATCACATGGTGGCTTACAACCACCTACAATGGTTTTCTCTCCTGGCCTGCAGGCATACATGCAGACCGACACTGTATAATAAATAAATAAATAAATAAATAAATAAATCTTTTATCTTAGAAACAGCTGGGTAATGGTAGTGAACACCTTTAATACCAGCACTCAGTAGGCAAAAACAGGCAGATCTCTATGTATTACAGTCCAGCGTGGTCTACATAGTAAGTTCCAGGACATCCAAAACTACATAGAAATCCTGCAATGAAAATCAAATAAAGCAAAACAAGCAAAACTCCCTAGAAACAAATTCTTATTATGGTGACCCATGAAAGCAAATTCTATTCTCAAAGGTATTTCAGCCAAAAACAGTGTAAATAATGGGCAAATGGTTATAACAAGGATCGGGGTTGTGCTGGCTTCAGTAGCACATATACTAAAACTGGAATGATACAAAGATTAGCATGGCCCCTGCACAAGGAAGAATCAGGGTAACTTTAGAGGTTCCAGGCTGGGATGTGTGATCAGTTAGAGCCCTTGATTACTTGATGGTCTAATGACTACTCATCCCCAAGTTTGTAGGATTTGGTTGACAGCCTCAGACATCATGCTATTCTAAAAGTTTTAAGAACACTGATTCTTCGTGAATGTAGATTATCAAATATACCTCTGAAGGATAGGGCTCTTGCTAGGAATATTTTCTGTAAAGTGTTGAACACGAATATACAACTTGAAATGGTCATTCCATGTCATTCCACATCAAAAGAATGTGGCAAGGCTTAGGAGTATATGCCTATAACCGTGACACTCAGGAGGTCAGGGCAGGGGACTTGCCAAGAATGCTAACCCAGAGCTACAGAGCAAGTCCAAGTCCAGCTTGAGCTAGGAGTGATCCTTGTCTTAAAAAGAGCAAATAGTTGAGTGACTAAATTGCATACAGAATATGGTTCCAGAAGGGGTGGAGACCATGGAAAAGCCAGTGGCCATGTTTCCAGGCTGTGGCACTAAGAGACTATTAACCACAATGGTCTGATTGCTCCAACATTTTTGAAAGGAGGAATAGAACCACATGGGATTTTTTTCCCTCCTGTAATCAACGAGAGTTTTGTTGGTATTTATACCCATCTTTCTGAGAAAAAAATTCAGTATTCTCAAAGGCAAAAATCTAAATTTGCTAGATTTGGCTTTTAAGGCATTTTGTTCTAGTTTATCCCATTATATGAATCAGCCTTGCATTACCACAACACAATAGTGGAGTCAAGTAATTCTATAAAGAGGAAAGGTTTATTTAATATAGTTTAGAGGTTCAGAGGTTTGGTGCTGACATTGGCTCAGTCCTCACTCTTCTGGCTGCAATTACATCATGGCAGAGAGGACATGTGGTAACCAACTGCTCATATTATAAATCAGGAGAAAGAAAACAGAACACAAAACTGGACTTACACATTCCCGTGTGAGGATACAACACTAGTTGATTAAGAGCCTCCTGGAAGTCACACTTCCCAAAGATCCTATCACTTCCCAATAGTACCACTCTGGGTTTTAATCACAACACATCATTGGAAGTCACAATACCTGGCAACCAATATATGGTAGACGCTTAGGTATTTTTGTCACTAGTTACTATCCATATATGACTGTTCATTCTTGCCTTGAGAAATCTGAAACATAGTAGACATCATGAGAAGTCTAGATTAGCACATGCTATCATTTTTAAAATATACAACCAAAACCTTCCAATTATCCATTTTGGCTGATTGCTACTGTTATAGTTGCACACTCAGAGTTGTGTCTGTGATGGTATGTATGTGACTTCTAGAATTCTATTAGGGAAAAAGTAATGGAGATATTTATCAGGGAGTGTTACTTTTAGAGTTTGTATATGTCTGTAGTAATATTGCCTTCACATAAATGCTCACTTCTTCCTTCCTTCCTTCCTTCCTTCCTTCCTTCCTTCCTTTCCCTCCTCATGATATACAAACTTCCCACATCAGACAGGATGAATCAGACCACAGGAACAATCCTATGGGATTTACACAATTGAATTTGTATCTGCAAAACTTCTAAAAAAGAATTTTACACACACACACACACACACACACACACACACATATACACCCCTCACTGAGAATTTATTGATGATTCAAACAACTAACACCACCTCAACAAATATCTTTCAGAATGAAGAATACTTTTAAATTACTTTAAAGAGGCCATTGGCTGTTACTACCAGCCAAAGATAATACATCTAAGAACTATAATGACAAAAACTGCCAGTTGATAGTTCTCATGAAATTAGATGCAAACCTTTAAATTGATAACATTTCAACAAACAATCATTAAAAGATAAAACCACTAAAATCAAGCAGAATTCTTGCAGGTATTTGAAGCTGGCTCAGTGTTTTGAAAATAAACTTGCATCACTCCTATTACTTAGCAAGGTTAAAACAAACATACACACAGAGAGAGACACACACAACAACAATAACTATGTTTGTAAGAGCCAGCTCTAAGAATGTGTTTACTAGTGGCTCTAGAAGGTACACCTGCATGAATTTTGAACATGACTGCCCAAACATGTGTTGAATATGGACAACACCAACGGACATGCCAAACTGGATGATAGAAAGCCCACAATGCCTTAAACCTACACAAAGGATTATAGGCACCTGGGGAAAGCTAGAAGCAGGACAGGTGATCCATCCCAGGGAAGAGCGCATCAATTTGATGTCCAATGACAAATGGCCAGCCCTGAAAACATACATATAAGTAGCATTATGCAGACAGAACATATATAAGTATATGCCTCACATATATGTATGCAATGATGACTAGTAAAAAAAAAAATAGCCCAAGAATTTGAAGGGTAGAAGGGAGGGGTGTATAGGAGGGTTTGAATGGATGGAGGGAAGTGGGGAGTAATGTAATTATAGTATCAAAAATGCAATTTCAAAAACAAAGAAAGAAAAAAACTATATGTCTATGTCAACTGATCTTCTTGCCCATAAAATCATCTGAAGAAATGCAATACAAACTCATGATTCAAAAATACTCTCAATTCAACAGTAATGGAGACTATTTCCTGACTCTCATCAAGAACATCTGTAACACTCTTACACCTAAAATTGTACTTGATGGTCAGAGACTGCCTTCTCTCTAAGATTGGGAACAAAGTAAGAATGCATGTTGTGACTGTTCTTAGCCAACAGTGCACAGGAAGTCCAAGCCATGATGATAAAACAAGCAATAAAAAGTGTACACTCTATAAAGGAAGAGAGATAATCATCTGCATTCGCAGATAACCATATTAACCACACAAAAGATAGACATCTACAAAAGCAAAAAAAGAAAACAAAAACACAAACTCTAGAAATTAAGAACTTGGGGGAGTTGCAGAACATAAAACCAACACCCAAATATTAGATACTGGCAATGACCAAGTGAGAAGAAATCTGAAACACACACAACCATTTAAAATTATCCCAAGGGAGATTAAATTCCTAAGTATAAGCCTGCCAAAATAAGTGTTATACATTACTCCATAGATGTTAAAATGTCAATTAAAGAGATTAAAGAAGACCACATAACTTGGAGAGACTGACTATGGTCCTGGAGTGGCAGGCTTGGCATGGTAAAAATGCCTATTCTCTCTAAATCATTTACAGGTTTAGCACTTCCCTGTCAAAAATCTAGTCAGGCTGTTTGATGTAAACATAAACAATGTTATTCTTGAATTTATATAAAAAACCAAAATCACTAGAATAGCTAAAAAGGTTTTGAAAAAAAGGAGCCTAGATCAGGAGGGCTCACAGTCCTGGATTGTAAGTATAGTCGTCAAGACCACATTTCTGAAATAATGATGACACACAGGTCAGTGGAACTGACTAGAGACCCAGAAATGGATCCATATAAACACATCAAATGTAATGTTGATAAAGGCACAAAAAATCAAATCATTGGACGAGAGCCATTCTTTTTAATAAATTGTTCTAGAGGAATTAAACATCTATATGTACCAATTCCCCTAGAAAAACAAAACAAACAAAAATACAAACAAACAAACAAAAACAAAAAACCCACCTATGATCCAAACTCTAACTCCAAACTTTATAAAAATTCCAATGTGGATCATGGAATTAACTGTAAAATATGCAATAAAATCATTGGAAGAGATAGGATACTCAGTGTACATACAATTTCATGGTGACAATGAATGTGCGCTGTAGATTCTATGAATTTCAAGTTCTTGGGCTTTATATAATTATTAGGATACAAAATTTGCTTTACCCACAAAAGACAATATAATCAGGGAGCTGGCTGACAGTAAGTGGACCCTGTTTATGTGTTTACTTACAGATTCCTGCAAATCTATAACTATTTCAAAAGAAGAAGTTAAAACAGTAATATAAAGATGTCAAATCTTTCTGGGTGTGGTTTAAAGACACAAAGTTAATAAAAGACAGCTCACTATATCTCTTCCCAAGAATGTCAACCAAGAACTCTAGTATAGACTTTTAAGGATATCACCGGAAGTCAGAAAATGCTATAGAAAAGAAGAAATTTTAATATTAGCCAAAAAAATGAATACAATCTAAAGGCATCCATTTGAAAAACCCAATTGTCATTAAATATGTTATTTTTAAAAGCCATAAGTAATTAAAGGGAAAATGCACAACTCTCTAGAAATCCTAATAGTATTACTTTTACAACAAAGAGGGCATGAATGTGATATGTTAGATATGCAAAGGGTGTTACATGCATATTGATATGAAAATCTGAAACACTATCCCAGGTTTTTAAAAAATGCTGTGTTTTAAACTAACTAAATAAATCCTCCCTTCAGCTTTCAGAACTTGGCTATGTAAGTAGCCTAGGGCCCAATCATGGCTGCAGGTGCTTGGGGAAGAGGCACAGAGGACATGCAGGACACTACATAGGTCATGCTGGCATGATTTCAGATGTGATCTGCATCAGAGCTATGACAGGAGGACACTATCTGACTTCTGTTTCTTAGAACACACCCCAGAACTCACTCTGCAACATAAATTACCATGCTTGATATGACATCCTGGAATAAGAGAAGATACAGGATATCCAAAGTGCAAGCAAAAGCAGCATAGTCTCTTACATGAAAATCCACTAAGGATTTGAGTCTGTACTTTTGCTTTATTTAAAAAAAACTTAGTTAAAATATAACTGTATCACTTCCCTTTCCCTTGCCTCTCTCCACTGACTCCCATGTCCCCTCTCTCTAGCCCATTCCATGTTCCTCCCTTATCTTCTCTCAGATTGATGGCTTATTTTATTATTGTTGTTGCTTCATATATATGCATAAATATGTAAATAAAGCCTTCTGTTTAGTGTGGTTTGGCATATGTGACGTCAGGGCAGACTACTTTGTCATCACCGGGAGACAATCTGACTAGAGTTTTTCACCTAAGGGTGTGACTAAGTGAAATTCTGCCTTTCTGCATTAACTTATCAATTGATATTGAATCTTTAAGTTTTTAAAATTA